GGCTGGGCCCGGCCCCCGCCCGCCCCGCGCCCCCGGCCCATCCACTGCTCGGCGCTCGGCTCGCTGCTCTGTGCCCCCCCGTGCCCCGTGCCCCCGGCCCATCCACTGCTCGGCGCTCAGCTCCCTACCCTGTGCCCCCCCCGGCCCCCGCTCGGCGCTCGGCTCCCCTCTTTGTGCTGCCCTTCCCCGTTCACCGCTCGGCGCTGCACCCCAGCCCCTTGTGCCTCCCCGCGGATGGGCCGGCGGGCCCCTTTTCCACCTGGATCCCCAGTGCCCCCGGGACCTCGTCTGGCCAGAGCCGCAGGCGCATCCCTGGCATGGTTTGCGGCGGTGCCGGCCCCGGCCCCTGCCCCTGCTGTGAGCGGGGGAGGCCCTGGGGGGCGCGGGGCTGCAGCCCCTGCACCGCCGCCTATCACCCGTCTGCGTGCACTCGCCCTGCCTGTGGCCCTCGCAAGCCACAGCCAGAGCAGGCCCATGCTCCTGGCCCAGCCACCATCTGCCCGCCCGGGAGGGAGGCTGTGGCCGCAAGGACCCTGGGGGCCGCGGGGCCGTTTCCTGTCCTCGCCGGGCAGCATCCACTGGCTCCTCGGGCACTGTCCGTGCTCGGTGCACTCGTTACCAGCCTCCCCTCCCATCTCTGTTTTGTATCCTATTTGTCCCCAGCCTTCGCTGGTGGGCCTTTAGTGCTCCCCTGCCCTTATTAAAGGGGCCTATAGCTCTGTCTGGGCATTGGCTCATGGTCAGGAATGGCGTAATCTGCTGCTCTGCCGTCTGTCCCGTGCTCCTCAGTGCTCTGCTCTTTGCCGTCTGCTCCCTGCCACACTTGCTGCTTTGCTGTCTACTTCCCACCCCATCTCCCACTGTGCTGCCTGCCCCCTGTCTGCTGCGTCTCCCCACACGGAGGCTGCCTGGGCTCCGTGGCACTGTAGGTTTGCACCCCTGTAATGCAAGGAAAGTCAGCAATTGGTTTCTGCAGTGTTTGGCAGCCTCAAAGGAGTGCAATTTCTGCAGGGAGCAAGTGACCCGCTCTCCTCCTAAGGAGCCAGTCATGCTTTCTCACAGACTTCAGCAGCCGTGAAGAAGGATCCAAAGTCTGTTGTGGAACAAAGTCCTCCAACCCCTTCCGGAGCCTCAGTGGGCAGCGCTGGCTGCAACCTGATTGGAGAAGGCTGGGGGCTGCTCCTTCCAGAGACTGCCCTGCCTCCAGAAGCGGGCAGCTGAGCCCAAATGTTCCTGTTGCAAAGGGATCACGAGCAGAGTTCCCGTCAAGTAGCAAGCGGAGAGAATTCGGCTTAGCCAGGTCGTCCCCTGGAACAAATCGGTCTGAGCGCGTGCTACCAGGGTTGGAGCGGTGGTGGAGTCTGCCTGACTGCATCACGTGACACAGCAGCGTCAGATAGGATGTGCGTTGCAGTGCTGTCACAGATTGCTGTGCGGTCTGCGGGTTGCAGACTGACTGCGAAGTGGGAAGTAGGAGGAGTTCGGGAGCACAGAGAGTAAAGGGGACGAAATAAGTCCCAGAGGAACAGAAGCACTTGGGTCATGGAGGATCTCATGCAGTTTGGGCTTGAGAGTTCCCAGCCAAAGCAGAAGTCTTCTGAGTTAATGCAATTCCTGTCCAGACCAGACAGTCCTGAGGGGCAAATGCAAGTGTCCGTTGGGTTTCTCAGCTGAGGTCAATATCTCAAGGCTGGAATTTTAGAGATGTTTCCAGGCCGAGCCCTTTTAAACTAGGCTTCAAGCAAAACGATATTTTTTTTTAAAGGACTGGGCTGAGTCCTCCCCTCTGGGCAGACTTCTGAATAAATCTCTTACTGCTGGACCAGGCCTCTGTCTAAGACCAGCTCCCAGGCAGCCTGTTCCTCACAAATGGATCTAGTCCCCTCTTTAGGTGCTCTCTCGGTCACCGTGTGCTGGGCCCCACTGTCTTAGGCAGCGTAGTCTTTCTTGCTTCATATTTCCTAGGTCATTCAAAACAGAGTGAGCTTGAGAGGGCCAGAGCAGGGAAGGGGTGACGCGGGGACCTCTTAGCTGGTAGCTGAAGTCAAAGAGCGTTGTACAATCTCCACAAAGCCTAGGCTGAGCTCTGCTGGCAGCGCCCCCCCTCCCTGGAGCATTCAGCCTTTGGCCGCCCAGCAGGCCCTTCCTTCCCCTCCAGGGGCAGGTTTGGACTTGGGGCTTGGTCTATAGATGGGGAGAGGATGTTTGGCCTTAGCCCAGACACTGAGTCCACAGTAGAACCAGCTGAACTAGCACAGCCTGAGATGAATCCCAGCTGTCACAGCAGCAGCAGGAGTTGGAGCTACCTCTGAAAGCTTTGTCTGTAGGGGTGTTGGTCACTGAGCCCTGTCAGTGACCACTGAGCCTCGGCATCGCTTTAGCCCTCAAATGAGGAACTTCTTGAACTCACTTGGTGACATGGGCCACACTGGCCCCAGTCCTGCCTTTGCCCTTGTGTACCTCATGAATGACTGATCGTGACAGGGCCTCTTACATTCATGGCAGGAGAGCAGAGACCTGCTGCCTCCTTGATCTCCTCTGTGGCTCCTAGGGCAGCTTGAGCTCGGTAGGTAATACTTGCAAAAAGCCACCTTCAGTCTCCCAGAAGCACGTGAGTGGCCCCTGAGAACATGGCTAGGTATGCTCTTGTCTTCCCTTCCCTTGCTTTGCACTGCCTGGACAGGTTGGCAGCTTGTGGGAGAAGCCAGTGGCTCGTCAAGGCTACGTGCTTCACTTTGCATTGTGGCAATTGCCAGGGCCTTTGTGCTGTGCCAGGGCAATCCCTTGAGACCATTTTGATGGCCGAGATGGAGCAGACACTGCAGCTGCTGTTCCCTGCAGTGCACGAATCTTCCTTTGTGCTATCTTGTCTGGCTCTTGAGCGTCACCTCTGCTCCTCCTGGCCTTGGAGCCCCACGGCAGCAGTGCTGGAAGGAGTACAGGATAAGCAGGATACTCGAGATGAAATCACATCTTTCATTGGCCTGGCCTTGTCACTAGGTAGATGTTTGGGCCTGGAAGCTGGTTTAAGTGTCTGGTTTTGTGCCCAGAAGCTTGTGTAGCATCAGCCAACTCTGAAGTTGGTCCAGTTAAGGATACTGCCTCCCCTCATGGATCCTGCTGCCCACACAGTTCTGTGTCCAAGCCTTTTACCCACCCAAGTCAGAATAAGCCACCTTCCCATCCACCCTACTGTCAAAGCCAAGTTCTTCCCTTTGTGCTGGGGGTTCTCGCCTGCCTCCAGGGTGATCATTCCCCATCTTCCTGCCTGCAGGCCATCCAAAACAGCCCCCTCGGACAGGAGAGAGCTAGAGCATCTGATCCCTTGGCCTGAGGAGAACAAAGGGTCCACCAAACCCATTCCCTCTGGAAAGAGAGGCACTGGGCTTGAGAAGTTATTGTGTCGGGGAGACGACAAAAGAAAGGGGACCCACAGGAGAGTGAGGCTGGAAGGCAGGAGAAAAGCCACTGCTCAGTGGAAAGAATCTAGCCCAGGCACTCACCCATTGGGGCAAGGATGGGTGGGTTGGGGACTGACTTTAGTTGTTCAGAGGAAGAGACCAGGCCTGGGACCTGTTATCTGGATGCTTATCTTGCTGGAATCCTATGACCCCAGCTGACTTCCTGCCCTTTGGGCGGGGAGCTGGACTCGATGATCTTCCGAGGTCCCTTCCAGCCCTGATGTCTATGAAATCTATGAAATCTGCTGTCTGCAGCACTTCAGCATTTTCTCCGTGTTGCTGGCCCACTGGCCCCCAGGGTTCTGTACCAAGATGTTGGCCAGACAAGTTGCTTTGGTTGGCAAATGCTCTAGAAAGTTTCTGCCCGTGCATCTGCAAATGGGCCGCTTGGCTGTGGGCCTCGATGCCGTAACATCAGGAGCAAGCTCTGGCATGCCTACTCGTTGTTGAGCCTTGGAAGGATTAGAGCTGTGAATTTTCCATTCGTTAATGCAAATGAGCTTGCAGAAGGGTCAATGGTGAGGACTTGGCACGGTACGCGGCCCATAGCTCAGCTGTGTTGGTGGTGGAGAGGGCAAAGAGCAGCATAACGTTGGCTTGGCAGGCACCAGCCCCCCTTGTGCATGTGAGCTTCAGACAGCTATGGCCGGGTTGAAATCAAGAATGTTCTGGAAAGTTCTCGCCTACAGCCGGCTGGGGTGTAGAGCGAATGTCCCGATGATCCTCACAGGGGCACAGTTGGCCTGAAGATCTCTCCCTGCACACTGCGTGCTGTCCCACAGCATGCGGTCCGCTGGAGTGATTGAAGGAAGGTCAGAGACCGCTGTCCTGTGCATTGAGCTCCTCTCCCCCTTCAGGTGACGGCCCTTTGTCCGTTGCTCACCCAGAGCTGGAAATGCACAATGCTGCAGTCACATGGCTTGAGGGCAAGGGATGCTCCCCCCCAGCCCTGATGCGGTTAGCCAATAGCAAGAGCAGAATGGCAGAACTGGCAGCAGGTATTGGGGCGAGCCAGCGCTGGACCATGCACGCTGGTTTTTTGCGTGGGAAGAGTCAAGAGCCTTTTCTGTCCCTGAGCTATAGGAAACAGGGAAACTGAATGCTCCACTCAGGTTTGGGGTGCCCCCTTTAAAGGGGCAGGCGCTGCCCGCACTCTGAACCTTGTGAAATGAGTGCATTTGCAAGAACCACGTGGAGCCCCTTCTGCTGTGACATGAGCCGCAGTGGTACCATTTAGGCAGCTTTGGAAGAGCTGGAGTTTGGGAAGGGGACCTTCCTTCCCATGCAGCAGCGAGCAGCACCACAGGCAGAGCCCCTATAGAATGTGGCCTTCGGGGCATGATGATCCTATGGCTGGGCACTTGAAAGCGTCACAATGCAGGGTGTAAAGCCTGAGGCCACACACACAGTCCCATGCGTACTTTACTGGCCGCAGAACTTCCCTCCATGCTGAGCGCAAGAGCTTGGGCCTGTCCTCCCGAGAGACATCTGATCTCAGGCTGAGGATGGGGGGAGAGGCCAATCTGCTGCTTTGTTGTAGCATGGTGGCAAGACTTAACCCACACCTAACAGGAAGGGTGACTAACTTCTAGGTTAGGGTCTTCCTGGCTAAAAAAAAGGCCTATAAAATGGGCATCATTAAAAAGGGAATTGAAAGCAAAACAAAACATAGTGCTGTTATACAAATCCATGGTTTGCCCACATCTTGAGTACCGTGTGCAGCTGTGGTCCTTCACATCTCCAAAAGGATGTAGTAGATTTGAGAGGCCCAGAGAAGGGCAACCAAAAAAATCTGGGGCAGGGAGCAGATGTCGGACCAAGAGAGACCAAAAAGGCTCACACTGTTCGGTTTAGAAAGGAGAAGGCCGAGTGGGGAGGGGATAGAGGTCTATAAAATCACGAAGGGAACAGACCAAGTGAGCAGGGTGCCTTTGTCCACCGAGTCCCAGAACACTAGAACAAAGGAGCACCTGCTGAAATGAGAAGGTGTTGGGTTTAAAACTACAAGAGAAAGGACTTCTGTGCAGCACATGGTTAATATGTAGAACTCATGGCTGCAGGGGGGGCAGGGAAGAGTTGGGTTCAAAAAGGGATGGGATAAATTAATGGGTGTTGAACAGAGATCTCTCCCAGCATCTCCAAGCCAGAAATGATGGGTGCCAAGGAGGGAATTGAGTAGGGGACAGATCACTCTGGAGATTCTCAGCTTGGTGTAACGGCCTGAGAGCTCGTGGTGGGTGGCTAGAGGAATGGTGACCAGGGCATGCTGAAGGCAGCCCTCCAGAAAACAGATGCCCGTGTCAAGACTCCAGTGGCTCTGCGGTCTTGACCAAGCAGCCGCCAGTTTTGAGGTAAAGCATCTCGCCCTTGAAGCGGAGAAGAGAGAGCAGAGGAAGGAAAAGGAGACAAGTCCTGGCCTACAGCCTGCTCTCCCCTATGGAAAGACCTGCAACTTCTGCGGGTGGGTCTGTGGCTCAAGGACCAGGCTCTTAAGTCACCTCAAGACCCATCAATGAGCTGTGGCAGAGATCGGCCTTCAGTTGAAGGTGCTACCATTGTTGGCAATTCCTGAGGAGGAGGAGACACTGGACTAGGTGGCCCACTGGTCTGGCTCTCCTGTTCTTTTGTTCTGGCTCCGGCTCTGCCCTGCACCAACAGGCTCTCTGTGCTGTTCTAACCTGTGTGACTGAAGCAGCAGGCTCTGTATCCTGCACTGATGTGTTTATGGTACAGATATCAGCGACACGCTTGACTACAACACCCCCTGTGGCTTCTTCCAACCCTGGTGACATGTGCCCTGTGACTCTGGCAGTAACATCAGTGTCATCATCCTGCTGTTTTGGTTGATGGGGCTTGCTGCGTTAAGGACCCCTTTCATGGTGGTGCTGAGAATCTGGCTGGCTGTCCTTGCTGTGTGCCCTTCCAGAACACAGGGAGGCTCAGCTGAGATCTCTGACAGCTTAGAGCAGGTTCTGTCACCCCTCATGTTCTGGGAGGGCATGAAGCAGTACTGAGGCACCTTAATCCTGTGACTGAAGTGGTGGCAGGCCATGCAGGGGCTTCCTGCTGGGGGTACCTTGCTATTCTCTGGCTATGGGGTCTGCTGAGTGTCTCTATGCCCCTGGTAAGAGTAGGGAAAAGTCTACTGTGGCTATGAGCACCAGCTAGAAGCAATGAGGGGGAGAGGATGGAGGGGGAGAGGGTTGCCAGGTGTCCCTGTCCTTTGTCAGAGCCTTACTGGGGCTGAAGGGTCCTTCCTACCCACCTGCAGGAGGCTTACGAAGGTGCCAGAGTGCCTATCCATCTCTGGCCTCCTCCATACTCCGGTGCTGTGCCTGTGGCTGGCTCCAGGCACAACTGCTTTCAGTTCCTGCCATAGGCCCTGATGGCCTGGCAGGAGTCCAGTAGGTGTGAACTGGTCCGTGTGGGCTGCAGCTCTTCCACGCAGAGGGTGGAAACCCGTGGAAGCCCAGGACTGAAAGTGAGAGGCCTGGGCTTCTCCGTCCTGGAGCTGCTGGCTGCGCAGGGAGCACAGTGCTCTGAACAGGTCTCGGACTGCTTGGGTGGGTGCTGTGCCTGGCTGAGGCTCCTGTGTTAACTCTGTCTCCTTCTGCTCTTCTGTAGGATCTTTATCATTTGGGCCATCAGCAGCTGGTTCCGCCGTGGGCCGGCACCACAGGACCAGACAAGCGCTGGGGGAGTACCCCGGGCTCCCAGCCGCAACCTCTTCCCTAAGGACACTTTAATGGTAAGGGCTCAGGAGCTGCGCATGGCTCTTTCTGAGCTACGATGCTCATCTCTGCTGCTGGTCAGGTACCTACTGTGTGCCCAGGTGCCCCAGCACTCTGCCCTGAAAGCTTGTTACCCAGGGGCCAGGGCACAGTACTGGCACTCGATCTTGAGAATGAACCTATGCCGGCCTGCCAAGAGGCTTCGGGCAAGTTGTGTTTGCCTTCTGTGCCACAGTTTCCCTGGTGGTTGAACATGGTCCCCTCACCGCTGCACTTGGACAGGCCAGTCTCTAGTCTGCTCTGTCGCTAGTCCCTCTGATGGAAGAGGCAGTGGGACACCCCTGTGCATCCCCCAACTGCAGAATGCCCCCCTTTCCCTGGAACTTGTACCGTAGACTACAGCTGCCATCTCTGTCCCCCTCCCCATGCTTGGGAAATCACCTTGCCAGCTGGAGCCAAGTCTGGCAGGGGCGGGTCCGTGTGGAGCTGGGCTGTGATGAGCCATCTGGTAGCTCGGTGAATTCCAGAGGCAAAGGTGTGCGGGTGCATGCCAAACTCCTCCCTGTTCTGTGGCCCAGGGCCAATTCCCCTTGAGCTTTGGCCGGTGGTGCTGGGTAGGGAAGTGATTTTCTTTCTTCTTTCTAGTGGGCATCTCTTGTCTCCTGCTCCTCTCCTTCCCCTGTTCTGGCCTCTCCACAGCAGCCTCTGTCCTTTGGACTGAGGGGTCTGATGGAGAGAACCTGGCAGTCACCTCCTCCCCTCTGTGCCAGCAAAATAAATGCCCTTGCCCTGCCTGGCTGATGCCATGTTGTGCAGGATGCACTGGATCCGCTGCAGCTCCTGAAGGGAAGGCGGTTCTGGTGGGGAAGTGGCAGCAGGGGCCGATTGTACAATCAGCCCTTGCTGGGGTCCTGCTGAGCTGCCCGCGCAGAGGGAAGTGGGGAAGCGCCTTCCCCACTCACCACACTCCTGCGGTTTGCGTGTGAGCAGCCTGAGAGTGCAACCAACCAGGCCAAGAGCTGCAGGATGCTCGTGGGTGCCAGGGCCCTGTCTGTCCAGCAGAAGCCCCAGAAGCTCTTGCCACATTTGTGATGTGGCCCCTGGACAAAAGCCCTCCCCTCCCTCCCCTCTCTTCAGGAAACTGAGGCATAAATGGGCTGGCCATAGCCAGCAGCTGCATCCTGTGCTTGCCTGTGTCCCCGTGTTCACCCCTCTCTGCAAAAGGACTGCGGGATCTCAGCTTGCTGAGATGTAAAACCTGAATGGAGCGAGAGCTGCAGCGGCACTTGTCTCCTCTGCAGAGACTCTGGGACATAGTGGAGTGGGGAGTTGCTGCTGTTGCACCTGTGGGCTCCATGGGGCTGCAGCCATGGCTTTCAGCAGATTTGCAGGGTGGTACTCACCACTAGTGCTGCCTGGGTGCTGCCTGCTCCCCTGTCTTGCTCTGCAGCTTTCCACGCAAGATGGAACCATCTGGTTCCCAGACCAGGCTCCCTGCACCATTCCACAGACTCGGGCGGCAGGGAGTCAGCACCAGACTGGGGGCTAGCGTGCAGTGTGGGAGTGGGGAGTGCTGCCCTCCAGGCTGCAGCACATGCAGCATCTGGGCCCTGGGTGCCAGTAGGGGAGGGAAGCTGCCTTTGGTACCCCCGTCCCCCCGCCTCCTGGCTCACAAGGAAGTGCGGTTGGAAGGCAAGGAGTCAGGCTGCCTGGCCAATCTCCCGGGGTGCCAAGGGAGAGCACCCATGGAGCTCTCTGCCTAGAGACGTGTCCAGATGGGGCTTGGGCAGAACTGCGGAACGGGGCCCTGGCCCTGGGGTCCAGTCCTGTTGAGAGCTGCACCGCTTGGCTTGCACAGTGACTCCCCAGATGCACCAAGCCCCTAATGGCAGCAGAGTGGTGGAGGCCTCTGATCTCTCTAGACAGCCCATGTCTGGGCAGACCTGTCTGGGACCAAAGGGCAGAGCTGAGGCCTTCCTGCCCAGCAGCAAGCATTTACCTGCTTTCCGTTCCCACAGCAAGGCAGTAGCAGGACTGGGCCAGCAGGACCACAGCTTCTCCCTTGGCTGCACTGTCTCTGTGGGATGAACTGAGGAGGGGCAAGGCAGGGTTGGCTTTGCCCTGAAGCCAGTGGTTCTGGCTCTAGCTCTTGTGGGAGCAGGCCTGAGTGGGAAAGAGGTGCTTCCCAGAGCAGCATCCCCATAGCCTTCCTTCCCAACACTGAGCTGTCTGCCCTCCCCTCCCCATAGGACCTCTACGTATACATCTCCGAGCACGAGCACTTTACAGATTTCAACGCCAGCTCTGCACTCTTCTGGGAGAAGCGGGATCTCGTCTACGGGGACTGGACCAGTGGCGAGAATGCGGATGGCTGCTACGAGCACTCCGCGGAGGTGGACGTTCCTGAGGTGTGTGCCTGCTGCCTCGGGCCACTGGGAGCCTGGGAATGGGGTCCCCCTCTCTTTTGATCCCTGGGTTCATTGCTGTCTCTCTGCAGGGCTTTGGGGTGAGGCACTGCAGGTTTCCCTTACCCTCCCCCTCCCTGCAGCTAGCTCAGTCGTCCAGACATGCTGCTGCTTGGTCCTTCCCCAGTCAAAGGGCAGCGTTGATTGCATGGCCCGACCTGTGCCCAGCCCCGTGGAACAGAAGCAGAGTTGCTGTGGTTGCCACGTGCTGTGCTGCCCAGCTCTACCTTAGTGTGTGCAGGGGCAGCTCTGGCTCCGCACTGCTCCCTGTGCTGGCTCATTCACACTGGCCAGCATCCCATCTCATTTCCCTCAGCAAACTCTGGCTCCCTCCTGCCCCTTCTTGTCTCCTCTGGGTGTGCTTCTCCCTCCTTGCTCTTGGTTCTTTGTTGGTTACTGCTGCTACGGCAGCCTAGCAGGCACAGGGGTTAAATGGGATGGCCTTCCTTCTGCCCCCCCAAGTGCAGCCCTGCCCTTGTGTCAGCACAGCCCATGGACCACCAGCTCCCATGATTCCTTGTGCTCAGTGCGAGGCCCTTGCCAAACCAGTCTGTTCAGCAGCTCCCTGCCTGCTCCAGACCCCTTGGAAAGCCCCATCACTCTGGGCAGGTGCCAGGGCTGCGCCTGGGGATTGCCACAGCCTTTCTGGCTGGCTTTGCACTGCATAAAAAGTCATTGGCTTGGAACCATTGCAGGAGCCCCAGGCAACCGGTACAGCTGTGGACCCTGTTACTCCCAGGTTGGCCTCCCCTTTGCAATCCTTCCTCATCTGCAAACCACACGGCCTGTTCAAAGCCTGGTCCAAGGCTGCCAGAGCATCGGGCCCCAGGGGGTTACTTGAACTCAGTAGCTGAGTAGTTTCAGACTCTTTGTAGTCAGCTGGGACATGGTCTTAACTCTTCAGCCACCATCAGAGCTTGATGCTTTATTCTTAACTGTGTGGGGCTACAGGCTCTCTCCCTCCTCCCCTGCCCCTCCCCCCACTCCATAGTCAGATGCAGTCCCAGGTGGGGGGAGGCATTTATCCACTCAGAATGGATCCTGAGTGTTTAGAAAGCAGCGGGTGCCTGCTGTTCACATGTTGTACCCAGGGCTCATTTGGAGGGCATGTTGCATGTGTGCAGCCCCCAGTGCCATGCAGGTTGACCCTGGGGTGGGGCCAGCCCCAGGCGCACCCTGCCCTGGCAGAAGCTGCTGGCCCTGGGTCCCTGGTGCAGGGACAATGCACTGAGTTTCCCGCTGGCACGATTGCAGAGTGTGCAGCGGAACGGCTCCATCTACATCCACGTGTACTTCACCAAGAGCGGCTTCCACCCGGATCCCAGGCAGAAGAACCTGTACAGGCGGCTTGCCACCGTGCACACATCACGGAGTAAGGCTGCATGGTGCGGGGCGTGAGCACAGCTGTGCAGGGGGCTGGGTCCCGGGCAGGGATGGAGCTGCCCCTGGGCTCTGTCCGCAGGACTGGAGCCTTCTCCTAAGGGCTGCGTTTTAAAGGGGTCACAGCCAAGTGGGGAGGAAGGGGTGTCTGCCTTCTCCCAGGGGGGTTAAGCCCGGACCTGCTGCTCTGAGCAGCTAGGGCCTGGGTGGCTTCTGGCCTGGGCTGGCTGCCTCAGCTTCTTGTGCAGCTTGTAATGCAGGGGCAGCCCCCAAGTACCTCTGTGTTACTGCCTTTGTCTGTGAGTGTGGCTGAGTTGCAGGTGCCTCTGAGCCAAGGGTTCAGTGCTCCCTAGTGATCCCTGCTCTGAACAGATTGCTGGCTGTTGCAGCTGGAGCAAGGGGTTCAGTGCTTCAGCCTCTCCCTCTTAACAGTGAAAACAACTGAGTGGATCTCAGCACCTGGGGAAGTTCCAGCCTGTGGTGCTTGTGACGGAGCAGCAGCGGCTTCCTCCCTGGGGAGCAGGTCTCAGTTGAGAAACACCACGATACAGAGCTCAAAACACAGCTAGCAGCAGCTCTGTTCTAGCCCGCTGCCTCCCAGGTCAGCGCCCCCTCACACCCACGGGTGTCTTCCCTTCCAGTGATAAACAAGTACAAGCGACGGCGGTTCCAGAAAACCAAGAACCTGCTGACTGGGGAGACGGAAGCTGACCCGGAAATGATCAAGGTAAGCGGTGTCAGTGGGATCTCGCGCAGCCTGCCCTGGGGAGGGACATGGGTCTGTCCGCATGGCCGCTGCCTCTACCCTGGTTGTGATCTTTAGGGGTTCAGAGGGGTAATGCTGCCCTGCAGTCTCTGCCGGTGTGTAAAGCATTGTGGACAAGGACCTCTCAAAGGGGTCATTGCAGGCGGGTGCCAGGCAGCTTGAGGCAACTGGCTGTTCCCACAGGAGTTCCCTGCCCTGTTGGAGGGTCCCATCCAGCTCAACTTGCCTCGGCTGGGGGCACCTTTGGGGAGCAACTCTGCTTGTAGCCGAATCGAAGTCCCTGCACGTTCCATGTCTATTTCTTCCCCTCCCTCATGTCCTGCGTGGCCCTGGGTGCCCTCGTTGTGGCATCCTACCTCCCTCAGGCCTGCTCTGCTGCTTCTCCCAGGGTGGGAGCTGCCTTGTTTGATCCTGTGGCTTCCCAGCCATGAGGTGGCAGCTGTTCTGCATGCCTTGGGCTTGAGGAAGCTGGGCTGGAAGGGACCTCATGGGGTCACGTTTCATCCAGCCCCCTGCTCAGGGCAGGATTGTTCCGGATTAAGCTATCCCAACCGTGTGCCTGTCCAACTTGTCCTTGAATGTGTCCATCGCCTCTCTGGGCAGCCTGTCCAAGTGCTGGACCCCTCATAGTCAGAAAGTTCCTCTTCATCTCCAGCCTTGGTTTCCCCTGCTGTAGCTTGTGGCTGTTGCTCCTGGTTCTCTCCCCTGTAGCCACAAAGAAAAGTTCACAACCCTCCTCTCTGTCATAGCCCTTCAGGGCTTTGCTTGCTGCTAGAGTAGGAAGCATCTGGGTGCTGAGTGGGGAACTGCACTCTCATTTCAGAGAGCTGAGGACTACGGCCCTGTGGAGGTGATCTCGCACTGGCACCCCAACCTCACGATCAACATCGTGGACGACCACACACCGTGGGTGAAGGGCAGCGTGCCGCCTCCACTGGACCAGTGTAAGGAGTGGGCCACTTTGCCTTCCCTGCTCCCTCCTGGCACTCGGGGACCTGCTGGTCACCTGCTGCCATCTTCCCCAATCCCTTTTGGGGCCCTGCTGGGTCATGGCAGGGGCATGGACATGGGAGGGGGGCATCCATTGCATCCACTTCACTGGGCCCAGCTGTCACCTGAAGGACACCAGGTCAGAGTCATCCCAGATAGTTGTCCCTACCCGGCAGCTTTTCGCGGGTCCCATCCCATGGCCCTGCACCATGGCTGGAGGCTGACAGCTGGTTTGAGGGGCAGCCCCGTCCCACAGGTGCCAGGACCACACCTCCAGCCTGCGGTATGGGAGCAGATGCTAGCGTGGGGCTCGCACATGGCTCGGGTCCAAAGGCTTCCGAATGCGGCAGTGTAAGGCTGGGCCGCCATCACTGTCCTGTTCCAGGTCGACCTTGCACGGAAACACAAGTGCCCCCATCTGCCGGTCTCAGTGCCCCATCTGCCAGGCTCAGGTCAGTCTCTGCTCTACCTTGTGGTTGCAGACGTGAAGTTCGACGCAGTCAGTGGCGACTACTACCCCATTCTCTACTTCAATGACTACTGGAACCTGCAGAAGGACTACTTCCCCATCAATGCATCGCTGCAGCACCTGCCCTTCCGCCTCTCCTTCTGTCCACTCTCCCTGTGGCGCTGGCAGCTCTACGCTGCCCAGAGCACCAAGTCCCCTTGGAACTTCCTGGGCGAGGACCTGTACGAGCAGTCAGATGAGGAGCAGGACTCCGTGAAGGTCAGGCACAGAGCCCGCCTCTGGCTTGCTGGGCCAATGTGCCATGGCCTTTCCAGTACTGCGTGGGCATCTGCCCTCGAGCTGTACCCAGTGGCTGTGTCAGAAGTGCCACAGCACCAGCAGTGCCCCTTCTGCCCCTGGGAAGCTTGCCCATACTCCCCTTTCCCCTACACTTCTAAATGTCTCAGACGAGTCCTTAGTACTTGTCAGTTCCAGTTTTTTCTCCAGCTTCTTCCTTCATCCCTCCCATGCACAGGGATCCTGGCCAGCTGCCTCTGTCCTGGTCCCAGCCAGTTCCATTTGCGTTCCCCACCCAGAAATGCATGCACTGAAGGGGGCTCCAAGATGTGTTCCATTGGGTCCCTCTGGCTTCATAGGGAGGGGAGGGAAGGCCTGAGCAGGTGTTGTGAGCTGTACCAGTGTGAGGCCAGTGTCTCCTTGGTTTAGGGCGGCGCAGCTGGAGGCTTTGTAGCAGCCCAGGGAAAGTGCTCTTCCTTGTGCTGATTGGGAAGCGAAGCGCAAACTGCTCCCAGTTGCTTCCTCCTGGAGGGTCAATCTAGGCACCTTCCCCTGTTGTCTGTCTCATCTTGTGTGGCCTAGGTGGCTGTTTCTCTGGTTCTCCCCACACAGGCAACACTTACCTCTCTGCTCTTCCCCAGGTCGCCCTCCTGGAGACCAACCCATACCTGCTGGCCCTGACCATCGTCGTGTCCATCGTGCACAGCATATTTGAGTTCCTCGCGTTCAAGAATGGTGAGTGGAGCTGAGCTGTGGGGTCCTGTGTCCCAGGCCATCACTGGGTGCTGCCCCTGGGGCTGTCCTGGCCTTCACTGCCATTTCATGGCCTTGGGGGTCAGAACAAGGTCTTGCAAGGCAGCCACAGGAGAAGTGCACCTGCCCATGCCTAGTTTTGATCTCTGCTTGTGCCTGGACGAGGTGCTCAGAGCTCATAGGGCTGGCACAGGTGTTGAGGCCAGGGCTCATGCTACCTTCAGGCCACCTGCCCAGCTCTCCAAGACTCCGGTCCTCGTCCCTTGTGTCCCCTCCATCTGCAGACATGCCTGAGGAAGGGAACTGCAGGTGCGGCTCAGGGGCTCACTGATTACCAGCATTGCCTTAGCAAGTTCCCTGCCTCTTACAGGCCTGGGAATGCAGTCCCTGTAACCACATGGAAGTGCAGATGGGTCAAACATCCATAGCCTGAGTGAGCAGAGGGCTGAGTCAGCCCTTGCGGGCTGTAGGCAAGGGTCTGGGCAGGTGCTCTGTGCCCCTGATGGCTGGCAGAGCTGCTCTGCCTTGGGCAGCCTGGCTTCCTTCCCCGCTGAGAACTGCACTTGCAGGCAATGCAACTCCATGCTCTGCGCCTCGGAGCAGGCTGAAAGCAGGACTGTGGCCCCTGCAGGGTCGGGAGAGGCTAAGCTGATCTCAAGGAGCTCTATCCTTTGCTCTCAGACATCCAGTTCTGGAACAGCCGGCAGTCCCTGGAGGGGTTGTCCGTGCGGTCCGTGTTCTTTGGGGTGTTCCAGTCCCTCGTGGTTCTGCTCTACATCCTGGACAATGAGACCAACTTTGTGGTTCAAGTCAGCGTCTTCATAGGGCTCCTCATCGACCTCTGGAAGATCACCAAAGTCATGGATGTCCGGGTGAGGAGGGGGCTGGCCACACCAGGCCTCTGCAGCTCTCCATAAGTCAGGGGAGGGTCCTGTCTGCAGGTCTATGAGGTGGGCAGAGCAGCCATGCTGCTCTAGCCTGGTTCCTGCCTTGGTGGGCATGTGTGGTATTGGTCTCTTCCCTTCTCTGGGGTGCAGGATGGAGAGAAGGTAGGAGTCCCATGACCTGGAGTGAGAAGGCAGGGCCCTTGCTAACGTCCCCTGGCTGCTAATGTCTCCTGAGAGACTCGTTGCTTCCTGCCATGTCTCTGGGTTGCAGCCAGGGGCTGCAGGTAGGAATCCTCCCTGCCCTGCTCCTGTCCCAGCTTTTTGCTCGAGGCCTGGCCTCTGGCTGCAGTGCCAAGTCGTGGCTGTTACCTCTGCTCCTGTGGGTGAGGGGTATCGTGAGTGTCTGGGTGAAGATGAGCCGCCATTTGGTCTCAGAGATGCGGATGCAGGCTTGTCCCTTTCCCCTATTCCTGAGGCTCTGCCTGGCCAAGCTCTGTGCAATGGTGTCGGGACTCTGATCTCAGCTGGGTCAGTCAGAGCTGTATGTGGACTCTGATCTGGACTTGTGCGTGTTTCCCAGCCTGAGGGGGTTGGGTCTCAACCCATGTCCGAGCCCTATGAATCAGTTGGATCCAGCTGCCTCATCACACCCTCCGCAGACCCTCTCTGCTTCTCACCTGCTGTGTCTGCACTGACCAGAAGGCAGTGCTGGAGAGGCCTGGCTGAGACCTCTGGGGCACACAAGCGTGGCCCGTGCTGGCAGCCTGGTGCTTCTTGCAGCCTCTGGCCTGGGTGATGAGCAGTAAGCGGATAGCTGGGGTGTGTCCTGTCCTCCAGCCAGGCTGTCCTGGGACCCATCTCATGCTGCCTCCATACCTTCTGCTCCTTTCAAACAGCTGGATCGAGACAACAAAGTTGCAGGGGTCTTCCCACGCCTGACCTTCAAGGACAAGTCCACCTACATCGAGTCATCCACCAAAGTCTACGATGATGTAAGTGGGCACCTGTTGGGGGGCCTGGGTGCATGTAGAGACTTCCCCAGGGAGGGGTAGCCGGGCTGGAGAGAGCTCTCTAGACTTGGGGACCTTGCCAGAGCCTGCACGGGGTTCCCTTGGCCCCAGAGAAGCAGAGGGGCTGCGATTGCCTTCCCCTTGCCACTGCTCCAGGCCCACCAGCAGACCGGAGATGGGCCATGGGGCAGGACAGAGCGCATACACCAAGGGCTGTGAGACGGGGCTCCAGGCAGTGGTGTGCCTGCTTCTCCTCTCCACTGTGCTGGTTCCTGGGTCTCTGGGCCTTGGACATTCCCCTGCCTGGCTCTGGGCAGGGCATGTCCCTGCTCTCCTCTGTCCTTCCCCCTAGGCCTGGCTGCAGGTGGTGATGTGGGGGGTATGGAGGCCTGGCTCTGGGTAGCTGCAGGCAGCCTGGCCCCCTGCTTCTGGCAGTCTCTGTAGAAACACCCTAGCCCTGTGCTGCCATGTGGGGTGGAAATGGGGGTGACTCCACCAGCCAAAGAGCCTTGTCAATGGGGTTTAGCCCCTGCCTGGGCTGTTCTGGAGCTTGGGCTCTCCCTCACCCTGGATAGCTGGGAAAACAGAAGGGACAACCCCAGGCTCCTGCCAGCCCCCATGTGGGACAGGCGCAGTGTCACTTTGGCTAGCTGGGGGGGAGGAAGTGTGTCCAGCACACCAGGACCTGAAGGACCAGGGTGCTGAATGCAGCCCCCCCTTGTGCTGGGGTGGGGTCTGTGTGGTGGTGTGAGCCCCTGCAGCCTGTGCAGAACAGGGAGGACCAACCCCATGGTGCCCTCAGCCCTGCACAGGACCTTGCACTGCCCCTGCTGCTCACAGCCGCCCCTGCCTGTCGCCCCCAGATGGCATTCCGGTACCTCTCATGGATCCTCTTCCCCCTGCTGGGTTGCTACGCCGTGTACAGCCTGCTGTACCTGGAGCACAAGGGCTGGTACTCGTGGGTGCTGAGCATGCTCTACGGCTTCCTCCTGACCTTCGGTGAGTGGCAGCACTGTCGCCTTTACGCCAGCTGCAGCTCCCTGCACCCTGGGAGCCTGCCAGCACCACACTGGGTACCTGCCTGGTCAAGTTACCCCAGTCCAGAGCCTCTTCCCTCAAGATGGCTGCTCCCCAGTGCCTGGCATTGCCTCCAGCGACCTGACTGCAGGGACCTCCTCTTCCCAGCAGAGACATGTTTGGGCCCAGATGCACCTCTGCTAGGGGCACATCCCTGCTGAGGCCATGATCAGGGCAGGGTGAGGGTTAGGGTGAACAGAGCAGTGTCTCAGCCCTAGCCTGGGTGACGTGTGTGGTGGGGCAGGGGACGCTGCCCGTGCAGAGAGGGGCAGGCAGTTCGGGAGAGCTGTGGGGCATAAGCCAGACCCTGTTCATAGATTCATAGATGCTAGGGTCGGAAGGGACCTCAATAGATCATCAAGTCCGACCCCCTGCATAGGCAGGAAAGAGGGCTGGGTCTAGATGACCCCAGCTAGATGCCTATCTAATGTCCTCTTGAAGACCCCCAGGGTAGGGGAGAGCACCACCTCCCTTGGGAGCCCGTTCCAGACCCTGGCCACTCTAACTGTGAAGAAGTTCTTCCTAATGTCCAGTCTAACTAGACTGGGTACCTGTGGGTAGGACCAGGTATGTCTCGGGATCCCCCTGCTGGGATCTGAAGCAGACACCCGCAATCGTCTTTGCTTCATTCTGGCCTCCTAACCAAACTGGGCAAGTTGCCTGTGACCCGAAAGGACCGCCCCGGCCCTGGCCTGTGGGATGGGCAACAATGTTCCCAGGTTAGTGGGGCCAGGACTCGCCCATGTCAGATAGGTGCAGTGCTCCCTGCGTAGCTACGGCCCCAACTCCCTCCCAGCTCTGTGTGGCTCCTGGCCCTCTGTCCTCTGCGCATGGCTGGGGAGTGGCTGTGACCCCCTGAGTGGCTTGAAGGCCTGCCCATCACTGCTTCCAAGCTCCCTGACCCATTTGCAGTGCCCAACCACCCCAGCTTGGGGATCCTGCAGTGTCTCTGTTCTCTGTCTCCTGGTGGTTTGTCCCCATCTGACTGCTCAGACCAGCAGGGTGGGCTTCCCTGGGCTCAGGGAGAGCAGCTGTCTCCTGTTTGCCTCAGCTGCACTGTGCCCAGCTCTCCAGCCTGTTCATCTTTCAGTCCTGTCCTCCTAGGCATTCACCAGTCCCAGCTTTGTGTCACCAGGGGCCTCCCCCACAGCCCTCTGGGCACCGCTGTTCTGGGGGGAGTGGGGGCTGACAGTTTTCAGGGCTGGGCGCCATGGTGCTGCCTATTCCTGAGTGGGAGGAGGGTCCCCCGGCTTCAGTGGTCAGCTGGTCTCTGGTCCTGGTCCCTTCAGGACCCAGGGTGGCGGCAGCCCCTCTGTCTCTCCCCTGTCAGCACGTTTGCATAGTTCCTGTCCCACTGCAGTGAGACGAGGCTGCGGAGAACAGCAGCCAGTGCAGGAAGGCTGAAACCTGGCCCTGCCAGCCAGCACCACGTTGGGCTGCCGCTGGTAAAGCCTTTGGGCTTGTAGCTTGTGTCCAGGCTGCCATGTGAAAGGCTCTCCACCCCCACCCCCCTGCTGCCTGGCTTGGCCCACAACTCTGCTCTCCCTGGACCCTACCTCTTGCTTGTCTGGATGCCCTGATGTCAGAGCAACTAACCCTGGCTTCCATTGGTATAAGCCAGGGGTTCTCAGCTAGGGTTTTGTGGCACCTGGGGGGCCTTAAGATCCTTTCTTGGTCTGCAGGCACTGTGTAGTATCAGGTGTTCAGGCACAGTTCACAAGACTAAACCCAGAGGTTCCTAACAGGAACTAAGACGGTTAACCCTGTTCCACCCGGCTGCTTTCTAAGTTCCCGGTAGCAGCAGAATTGCTCTGGGATTTGTCTTTAGCCAAAAAAACAAGCAAGAATTGAACAGCTGGCACTTCCTGAGGGAGGCCTTGAGTTTCAGTCTCACCAACATAAAAACCATTGAGCTGGGAGCTGGGTTAAAGAATCATTCCTCAGCTTGGCCCGGCCTCCCCGGGAGGTGGTGTTGCATAGGTACGACAGGTCTTAACATGCGTCTGTACAGTCCTTGGTTCTTGAGTTTCTACTGTCCAAATGCTGGGCGGCATTTTCAGTTCACAGGGTCATTTCTTGACTCGTGATTTGTGCTGAGCTGTTTCTTTTGCATGGAGGTGGAATTAAAGCTGTGCACCCCAGCACCTGCCCGCAGCGTTTAAGGTGGGCATCTCAGCAGCTCTTAAATGTGCTGGCGACCAACAGCAAATCATTGCGGTGCCTTCTACTCCAGAACACAATCTGCCGGGACTGGCCAGAGCACTCTGGTCATTCAGGATCTCTGAGCCCATCCCTCTGTGTCCCCTGCTTGGATTCAGGGGTCAGAAGAGGGCTCCGGGGGCTCCATCTGGGCCCCTCTTCCCTGCCCCCTTGGAGGTTTCTTAGCCCTGAGCAAGCCCGTCTCCACAGTGAGTTGGCACCCAATACTCTCCCTGTGCCTGCTGCCAGATGTTGGCTGGGGGTTATGGCAGCTCTGGCCCAGGCATTCACCAGACCAGTGACAGGACCAGTTTGGTAACTGAATGTCTTTCCAGTGTTGGCAAACCCCAACTGTGAGTTGTGCTGTGCTGACTGGAAAGACCTGGGCCAGCCATAGGCAATTGGTTGTTTTTCCAGTGGGTTAATGGCACCTGCGTTTTCCCTCACGTGTGTGGGTTGCCCTTACCCTCTGCACTAGTTGTGGGCAGCCTCTGACCTAACCCCTTCTCATCCCCAGGCTTCATCACGATGACGCCTCAGCTCTTCATCAACTACAAGCTGAAGTCCGTGGCCCACCTGCCATGGCGGATGCTTACCTACAAAGCGCTCAACACCTTCATCGACGACCTCTTCGCCTTTGTGATCAAAATGCCCATGATGTACAGGATAGGCTGCCTCCGAGACGGTAAGGGCCCCATGTCAGCTCCCAAGCAGTGGTGGGGGGGTCATGGCTGAGTCTCTGCCCCAGCACAAAGGGGTCATTGGCTGCGCTGAGCCTGGCAGTGCTGGAGAGGCCCAGACCTGTAGGGCAGCCCCCAGCTGGATGCTGGCATCTGTGGCACAGCCCTTCCTTCAGCTGGCCGTGGCATCTCCCAGGAGCCCAGCGGTCAGTTCCTGGAGCTGGGCTGTGGGGCTCCCCATGCGGGCCGTGCCCAGCCAGGAGAGCTCTGCCTCCGGGTAGCCTAATGCCCGTGTCCAGGCAGGACTGGCCGCCGTCTCAGCAGCCCCCGCTCTCTCTGCTCTCTTCCCGCAGATGTTGTCTTCTTCATTTACCTCTACCAGCGCTGGATCTACCGGGTGGATCTCTCGCGCGTCAACGAGTTTGGGATTAGCGGGGAGGAGCAGGTCTCGCAGACGCCGCCAGCAGCTGCCCTGGCTGATGGGGCTGTCCCCGCGCTGCCTGCAGAGCCTGCCAGCAGCGCCCCAGACGCCCGGACGGAGGGGCCAGCCAACGGCACGCTGGTAGTACCAGAGGATGCGGGCACAGGCTCCCCGGGGGAGAAAACGGCAGAAGACAAGAAGAAGGATTAACCCGCCTAACTTGATTTTTAAAAAGGCCCAAGTTGACCCTGCGGTGGGGACCGGACAGAGCGAAGGCGGCCGCAGCCTCCCTCAGCTCCAAAGCTTTTCTCTTGTCCCCAGTATGTGCTGGGGGAGGGGGCAGACGTCCCTGTGCTGTGCTGTGTCCGAGGGCGCGCCCTGTGTCTGTATTTAACGTCAGCCCCATCCCGTAATCATTGTGAGCTCCATTCCATTGTGGCGGTGTGTAGGACGTTGTCAGGAGTTGCTCAGAGTCGTGTCTCTTCCATAACGAGAGCTGATCCCCTGCGAGGCCCCATCTCCTCGTTACACTCTACTACGGACTCTGGATTTAATAAATTCATATGGGTGTTTAAGTTAAACTGCACTCTCCTCCTTTGACCTGCGTGTGGGCGGGTGGGCCTCCCCTCACTCAGTCTAGTCCCTACTGGCCCCTCTGCCCTCCCCACAGGGCCCCCGCAGCTCCAGGCCTTGGGCTCTGGTGGCACTGGGGTCGGCTGTGGGGTGAGGACATGGGTCTCCCTGGCTTGAGACCCAGGACCTTCCTTCATGTCTGCACCCCCAGAAGGTGTAGGGCCTTCCTCCAGGGGCCCTGAGTTTGCCTGAGCTTCCTCCACCCCAGGGCTGGGGGGGCATGGGCAGGACTACAGGAACACTGGGGTGCTATTGCACCCCCCACACCTGGCCCTGACCTCGGGCACTGTGTGCCAGGCTCTGGGTAAGCTTCTCCCCCCTCGTGCCCTTCCAGCTGCCTCTAGCAGAGCCCCGTGGGCTGCCCCGATCCAGCCGGGTCCTGCCGCTGCTGGCTCCTGCCCTGTAAGCAGGATCAGCCAAGCTCCAGCGCCCTGTGACTCATCCCAGCACCTCCCACAGCTCAGGCCAGGCGGAGCATGGGGCTGCCCTTCCTGTGCCCTCTGCAGTGCTCTGCTCCGTGTGCTGGCAGGGTTGGGGGATGCTGGGTCCTTGGTGGTGGTTGGGGGGCTCAGGGGTCGGTGCCCCCTGGCACTTTGTGGGGCTCAGGCCTGTTGCTGGTTGCAGCAGACTGGCGGGCTCCTGTACTCAGCTCTAAGGGGCTCAGATGGTGGGGAGCCGGCCTGGGGCTCAGGCCCCTGCCCAGGGCTGAGGCTGCTGGTGGACGGCTTGGTGCTGAGCCCTGTGGGTGCTGCCGGCTGCTCCCGGCACCCAGTGGGGACAGCTCTCAGGACCCCCCCGAGCCCTGTGGGCTGGTGCCTGGGAGCTTGTGCTGTTCTCTCGCTGGCTGCCTCAGTGTCCTCCCCTGGGCTGTCATGCCCTGGGGGTGGGAGGGTGGTGCTTGTGCTGACCCCCCTGCCATTACCCCAGGGCCCCCCTGCTGTGCAGGGCCGGAAAAAGAGGTACCAGGCCATCGCCGTGCCAGTGAGCAGGCCGTGCCCTGAGGTGCGGGGGGCTGGTCTGGGGGTCCTGGGGGCCCACTTCCTCTCCAGTGGTGTCTCCGAGGCTTTCTGCTGTCAGGATCAGACCCAAGCCAGCCCTGGGCCATGCAGGGGCCTTGCCCCACGTGGGTGTGGGGAGCTCTAGGCAGGGCCCGGCTGGGGTCGGGGGCTAGACGGGGCCTCGCTGGGTGCGAGACCAGCGTCGCCCCACAGAGCCCCTTGGCTGGGCGAGGGCACTGGTCACGGTGCGTGTGGGCATCTACATGCTGGTGCATGTCCATGTGCACATGTGCATGCACATGCACCTGCGTACTCACACGCAAGTGCGCACACATTTATCCGTGTGTGCGACTGCATGCACAGGGCACCTTTACACACGTGCATGTGTGTGTGCACCTGTCTGTGCGTGTGCGCATGCAGCCGTAGCCGTGCACGCACGTGTGCACACGCATGTTCAAGCCCCTGCCCGTGTGTGCCCACGTGTGC